GAGATTCTGAAGTCTGGCTTGATTTAGCTGGAATAAACTTAACACTTGACGTGTTGTTACTGATCTTAAGTTTAGGCAACAAAAGTATCTGAGCACTCAACATGTTGTCTACAAGCATGTACTGAACATATCTGAAACAGTGGACTCAGAGCACGGAGAAGGAAAGCCGATATAGGAACAGATGTATCATCAAGTGATGCACTGCAATGTCCAAGTACTGATCTGTTTACAGCCTACCCTACCCCTACCTTTACATCAGGACTTCTAAGTCTGACACAGTGCCAATGACCAACTGGGAACAGTCAGCACAGTTAACATTCCCTCTTCAGTTGACTCCCTCAAAGACAGATTGACAAGGTCCCACCAGGCAGACCTTGTGGCAGGGTGCAGGGGCATAGGAGATATGATTAAAAGCAACAAGACACCCCCTCCCTGCCACTCCAAGACTAACAGATTTGCATGCTGAACCATCAATGAGAAACTACTCTAGCTATTGCTACACATGTAGAACTTGTGACATTCAGGTTCTGGCAGCCGTGGAGCCCATTACACGTTTCTAGGCACCATCCATAACGCTAGAAACAGTTATGGAGGGAAAGAAGTCCCTCAAGGCCCACAAGTGGCAGGGGCAGCAAGTCCCAGGGAGCTTTCAGAGACAGCACATGCATGCCTGGCTCTTGGCAGGGGTGGGCTGGCTGCACTGGAGCCTTCCACATGTTTTCTGCCAGCTGTGAATTCCCAGGAACACTCAGAATAGCTCACTGTCAATCCCATTTGTGTGTGTTGTGGGAAACAAAACATTAACAAGACCTCTGGGGAAAACACTTTATGAGTAGCCAAAGCAAGCAATGGGAAAGGGTGGTAGCAAGCCCTTCAAAATTCGTAACAGCTTTTGGCCTGTTAGCTGTTTAACCAAACATCCCTGCAGCCATGGTTTCATTTGTCCATCGGTGATGAAAATTAGCATGTGACGGGAACAGTCCCCCATGCCCACGGCACAGTCCACAGCCAACCAATACAGCCCTGTGCTGGCTCTCGGACAAAAGGGGGAACCCTCATAAGCTTTGTTGACAGAAATACAAAACCTGCTAAGGTCCTTCATGCACGACTAGCAAGGGACTTCTTTCCACTGGGATGAGGGACTTGTTGGGGACAGGGAAAGGAAAAGAGGCTCTTGAGATGCGCTGAGACACAACCAGGCTGAGCAGAACTGTTGAATTTCACCTTGGCATTTTAAAACAAAGCCTTTCAAGCTTTTCCAGCAGGACACTTGCTGTGGATTAGTCAGTCCCCAGCTGAAAAGCAAAAATGCTACACAGAAAGGTTACCGTTAGCCATGGAGGTGAGCCCTGGACCTGTCAGTGTTGGTTGCAGGACTGCTAATTGCTCCCAAAGCAAGTGCATTCGTAAGCAGGGTTTGCCAGGAGCAATTCCCAGCTGGCACAGCAGTGCAGCCCATGCTTTATCTCCTCCTGTCAACAAGTCAAAGCGTTGGTCAGCAAGATTTATGGCTGTTTTTTAAAGTCTCTTTCTTTGGAGTCAAGAAAACCAGCCGAACTGAGCTACTCTGTATGGTCGAAGGATTGTGCTCTTCTATCATTCCCACGTTCTTACCCCTCCATCCCAGCCACCCATCATGTCAAATTCTCATGCTCTGGAGCCCTCTGCCACGCACACATTGTGTTGAAAACCTAAAACTTAAGTGAAAACCTCAACATTTCTGAGGTAATTTTAAGATCACCTTGAAACACTCACTGATTATTGGGGAATACATTAAAGACTAACCATTAGTTACAAACTTCACAAAATGTCAGTCTCAAGTATCATATCTGAACAGTTACAATTGCCAGGATGCTCCCTCCTTTCCCGCACCTTAAGTTTCACACATTTAAGTTTTACAGAGCAGCACGCTTCAGTGCAGCCACATCCTTTCAAAACTACTGCCAAATTTCAAACCACTGTCTGAGATAGCACGTTGGAAAAGTGGAAATCATTCCTTCTGTGAAACATCCCAAACCAGAGCAGTGGAAATGGTTTTTCTCTTCCTGCAGAAATAAAAATATTTATGGCAAACCAGGACATTTTAAAACCAGAACATTTTTAAATTAACCATGTAGAGGGCAGATGCTTTTCATCACATACTCCCTCCTAGCAACTTACTTGTTAAAATACATAAGCAGAGTGTTTAAATACTTCAACACAATCAAACAAGTCACATGAGCAGAAACACTGAATTCATGGGTTAAAAACAGTCACTTGCCAACAAACTACAGAGCATCCAAAGCAGCAACATATTTGCCAGGCACCCTGCTCTAACGAGAGCCAGATCTCCCAGTACCTGTGACATAACTGCGGTGCTCAGTCTACCGTAATCCCTTCCGAGGTTGTTTCCCTTTGATTAAATCCAGCCTGTGAGCTCTGCAAATGCCTGTTTTTTTCCTTGACTTATATAGAGCATCTAACATGAAGTCATTAGATGGGTCATTTTCCCAAACCAGAACCCTGGATGATTCAGGTTGACTGAGGCTGTTGTTGTTGGAAGTGTTATTCTTAGCCATGACGAGGGTTTGCGGTATTTACTGTGCCTCATGCTTGGGGAGGGATGGAGCTGGGACTGATGGGAGCAGACAGCTGAGGCACCGGCACCACAGGGAAGCCCAAACCACTACAAAAACGAATTCCTGAGACTGCTGGGGCTCTATTTATAACTTTAAAAGGCAAAACTTTGTTATGGCCACAAAATTGGGCTCCGAATCCTCCTGATGGGGAAAAAAAGGAGAAAGTGTTTGCATTTCTTTTGTAGTATAATAAAAGATGCATTTTCTAAAGATTATATGAACCTACTATCAAAAGCATAACATTGTGCCCTAAATCACTTTTGCACAGGGATCTTTAACAGAAGGGTATTTTGTGCTTTTAGGAGAGTTGATACATTAGGGCATGGTTTTACAGTTGTGCTAGGCTTGCTCTGATGCCAGCTCTTACACAACAGAGTAAAATCACTTTCTACTTAGAGCACTACTAGTAAGTTTGATTATCTCACCTGTCATCTGTATAGGAATAGCTTACTCAGACGTGACTACCATGTTCCCTACTATATATGCTGACAGTAGAAAAACCTTTTCTAGAGTTTTTAATGTTTAACCCATGGCTTAGTAAACAAGGGGAATTGTTTCCTCAGAACAACAGCACTTTTTAGTAAGCTAACAAAGCATAGGAATGATATATCAACTTCAGGAAAAACAGCAGATTTTTTCTATTATACAAATTACTCAGATGCTTCTATACAGTTCCAGATTCATCATTATTCTGATGCTGTTTATTACAACAGGAAAATAACATTCTGCATGGTTAAACCAAATATTTAGAATTCAGGGCACTGAACTATTTTTTCCCTTAAGCTTTCAGAATTGCTTCATTTAATGGGTACGACATATTCCTCACACAGATCTCACAGATGATTTGACTTCTCCTCCAAGAAACTGCCAACACCCCTCAGTGGACTGACAGACTTGGTAAGTTGAAGATTATTCTCTGAATTCCATTTAAGGTTGTGGTGGGTATGGGACTACCTCAACGTAGGAGGTGGAAAGTAATCAAAGTCATGGGTAAACATAGAGGAGCTACAGAGGTAGTCATGGATCAAATCAGTACAGGTCCAGCACATCAGAACACACTATAAATTTCTTCCATCAAAACAGGCAGGGGTGACAGCAACAGCAGCTCACCAAGAACAGGATTTCTGCTCTACTCTTGCATAAAGGTATCAACCTCTATTTGTACCCTAAAATTTTAAAATAATAACAAAAAATTGATCAGCTGCATGTGGTCATGTTACAGCTTCACAGTGAGCCAGCTCTCATCCTACACAGTCCTCCTCATTCCTCCAGCATTCTGGAATGTTGATGGGAGATACCCTGCCACACCTCCATGGGAAGCTGGAAAGTTAAGATGGCATCTTTCCGCCCAACAAAACAGGAAAACAAACAAGCGAGGCTACATTCATTTTGCTGGGTGTAATAAAGGATGTCCAACAGCTTGCTGCAGACACTGATAATCAAAGAAGCTGTTTCCCAGGAGCTTAAGAGACAAGTCTGCACTACAAAGTTAGCATGTAGGAACAATGGCTTCATCAGACAGAAGAGAATTAGCACTGCTGCCCTCTTTTCTTTTTTCATGGTTCTGGGAAGTAAAGCAAGTGAGCAAAGAAGGTACTGGTCACCTCCAGCATGTTGTCCTCTGGAGACGGGACAGGCTATTGGTTCTGGAACTAGACATTCCCACATGGCCATTTTCTGTCTTCAAGGAGGTACTACATGAGTTCTGTGATACACAGCACTGCACAAGCAAACTTCTCAACAGGATGCTCAGACATTGTCCCTCTGCTGGAATTTCTATTATCTGCTGCAAACAAATCAGGAGGGCAATAATTAAAAACAGGTTAACAAGTTACCGAATTAGGCCACGCCTCTACCAAAGAGCAGGACACTGGAGGCAAATTCAGAAATTTCTGAACTTACACATTTGCTGTTGGCAGCAACCAAAAGGTCTGGCTTTGCTGGAGCCGAAAGCAGGCTGTGACCATCAGCTGTGTGGTTAAAGCATTTTCACAATATCCTACACTCCCAGAAAGCCGGAGGTCAATGCTCTGCAATCTCAGGAGTTCTGAGGCTGCCCATCAAATGTTTTATTTTCAGCATGAAAATGTATACGGTGATTCTCCATTTGTGCACACGCAGAGGGCAAAAACCCTCCTCAGGGAGCAGATCCCAGAGGAGCCTGCAAGAATTCTTAGTCATAAACAAAACGTGCTACTTAAGAATAGCAGTGCCTCCAACTGAAATGGAACTTGTTGTTAAGGTAACTGAAATTAATACCAACATGAGAGTGCCAAAAATTAGATCTGCAGTTCAAGTCCAGTAGCCAAACCTGCTCCCCACAGCAGCGCTTTATGAACATTGAAACACACACTTTTAAACAGAACAAGTATAAAACAAGTGTACAAATCTGTAATAAGTCAAACTTTATTGTAAACCATTATACAATGTAATTACATCAGATACCCTTAAAAGTTTAAGGTAACACCACTGATTTAACAATATGGTCCAAACACAGGGCAGCAGAATACAGCTCTTGGTTTTGCTCACACAGGCTATACTCTGGATTTACTTAGAAACAAACGCAACGTTCAGTTTGAGACGGATACCCACGCAAGACAAACACACCTACAAAAGAGTCCCTTTTTTAAAGATACTGCAGTTTTACTTTGTAAAACCATAGTAGTAATTTTCAGTAATAGAACTGGAAACTTTACCTAAAAAAAGTTTGCACACCTATGCTGTAGATCTACTCTGACTCGATGTAGCTGAATGTATTCACTTTCATTACTGCTTTCTCCTGTAAAAAACACAGCAAAGTTGCAAACGTGGGTTAGTCAAGCACAGTGGCAGGAATTCCTTGTGATGCTGAGCTCTAGGCAGAGCCCATGCCTCCCTCCCCAGGCACAGCTGGAATCAGAGCAGACACCTGCGGAGGATTGCTTTGCATTGCTCTAATTTGCAACTCAGTTTCTGAGTTTTCCCTGAAGCTATAGTACATTTTAGTTAGCAACATTAACAAACTGCATTTACCTACTTAAAGTAACACAAGGGGACTTGAACATATTAAAGCCAGAACTTGAAAACCACATATTAGACAACACTAGTGTTTTAGGTTTATGCAGATGTGTCACAGGTCAGATTCTAGAAACAGTTAATACATTTGAGTTGACCATTTGTGGTAAATTCAATCTCCGCTAATACTTCTGTGTCTCTTCTTTAAGTTATAACCCCTTTCTCTTACTTCAGCATATACTACATAGCTTATTTTCATTAAACAGAATCACATTTCTTAAGCACAGCCTGAATTAAAGCTTTCCTATGAGCTGTCATGAAGTACGTTTACCAGGCATAAATTTAGAGCAATAATTCGAGGATAATGCAAAGTCACCATGTTCTAGTATTACTACTCGGCCAGCTCTTTATGAAAAGTTTATTTCAGACTGTACAGCCAACACATTTCAATGAACAGTAAAACATAGTGACGCACGAGGCACATACTTCCTTCTCCCACATACAAGCTCTGCAGACAGAGCACTTGCGCTACTTCTACCTACTACGAGTTCCAATTTTTATCTTATAAAGACAGAAACAGCCAATTTTACATTTCCAACTCTTTCACATAATAAAAAGGAATGAATAGGAAAAAAAAAAACCCACCAACAAAACAAACAATTCCTACCCAGTTTTTGTTACTTGGCTAAGATTGTAAATAAATTTACTTTAGTAGAGAAGGGTAGAGCTGATTTTTCACCTCCTGTTACTACTGTGGTATGTAAAATACTTCTGTCTCTTTGGCTCACAGTGCTTTACTACATCATCTCGCTAGGCATATCAAAATCTCAAACCAAGTGACATTAAAGCACTTAAGACATGAACAATTAGGCATTCATATAACTTTGCTACAAACATCTTCAAGAAACTGCTCCATAGTGCTTTACGCTATTTTGTAGTTGGTTAATAAGTTTGAGGTCTGCTCAAAACATTTTTACATGATTAAGGCCATAATTTTATACTAACAGTTCACAGACTAAACATGAGACTAGAAATAGAAATAATTTGATAATTTAAGTAACTGGAGAAAAAGAGGGTAAAGAAGATAAAATGAAAACTTGTACAGTTAATTTGTGTGTGCTGCTCAGTTATCTCTGATGGTTGAGGAGGACAGCAAGGGTTGCACAGTGTTGAACAGCTTTATTTCACTACCTGAAATAGAACAAAGCCTATGCTGAAACATTAAAATGTTGACATTTGCAACCAGAGCCAGTCCTAGCTGTTAAGCCCCTTCCAAAAAGTGAGCTCTGTGAGACTATTCTGTGGATGAAAATGAATTCTTTGAAGTACTGTGCTTTTGAAGATACGCGCCCGCCCAGTGGTAAATAGTCAGTGAAGATGCAAGTCACAATCAATGAGAAAAAACCCCAACAAACAACCCCTAAACCAGAGGCAACACTGATTAGGGACATATTTCCCCCCCCCCCCCCCCTTAGAATAACTCAATTAAGCTTCCATTGTCCTTAGTTTCTAGATTTAGTCTAAAAGAAACACTAGTACTTAAACTTATTGCAGTTATTACATTTCAGTGCACAGTAACAAAGGTCAGTAGCTCAACTAAACGAGCAAATATTAGGGTTGGTAAAATGTCCTGTCTAGCTGGCCGGGCACCTGAAGTCTCAGAGCACTCTGTTCACCTCAGCAGCCAAGCAATGAAAAGCAATGCTGGAATAGTGAAAATAGGTACGGGAGCGCACAGTTCAGTATTTACTAAGGCCCATTTAAGTGGTCTGGATAATAAATCACATTAAGACCTAGTAAATCTATAAAAAACGTAAAAAATCTTAAAAAGTTCTGAGCAGTTTTCCAATGAAACTGTTTGGTTTAAGGCTTGGATCATTTCTGATGTCCAGATACTACAACAGATTTGCAGTTAAGGTCTGTTGTCACCTCTTTGACACATCACCTTGTCCTGCACAAGGTTTAACTGAGCAAGGAAAGCTGTCAGAAACTATCATTGAGAAAACATGCAAAGCTAAAGGATGCCACTGAAAACATGCTTGCTAGGTTTCAGACTAGCATGTGTTGTCAGTTATGAGAAGACAGACACTGAAAATCAGATTATGTAGTAACAATTGTGTTATACCTCTTGGGGTTTTTCTTAAGTACTAAAGGATAATCAGACTTTATGGAAATTAAACAGGAGAAATCTTTTTTCAGTGCATTAAAAATAAGACTGCTTTTCCAACAAAAAACAAGGAACAGAATTAGTTGCAATATTATAGCGAAACTGGTTCAGTCAGGTCACTGTCTTGTACCATGGGCCCTATATAACAAAAAGCATAAGGAACATTTCATCTTTTCTGGGTCATTTGAGAGGTATGCACAAGAGACTTGCAGAAACAGAAATAATTACAGTAATCCATAGATACTAGTTTCACAAATAACCTATCACAACAGATTTTTGCTATACACTAAAGTGCACGTTTGTCAAATACGCAAACACCACCTCCTATTAAAAAAGGTATTGTCAAATTATGTGGTAAGAAGCACACTTAGAACTGCATTTTTTGTCATGTTTGGTGACTTCAGCACTGCCAGAGCTTTTCTCTCTGCACTCCCTTTGTCTTTAACCAGGACACAAGGATAAATAAGATTTTTACTACAATTTTTTTGACCTGTTCTGCACAAAAAAAGGGAACTGTGCCCTTTTTTCTGACAAAGCGAATCTTTAAATACAACTGTATGAAAATATAACTTAAATATAAAATAGTCAAATAGATTTGAGGAGACTTGGAAAAAAATCTTTGTTCCACCTATTAGTTCTATAGGTACCCGGTAACAAGTAAACATTTGTACTTAAAAAAATAACATTAAGTTACAGCTTGTAACCATAAACTATTCTGCTCTAGGAATTATGCTGCAAAAGCCAGTTTTAGTAATAAAACACACTCCTTTAACTTAGTTGATTCTGATGCCTTTTTGAGAATATCTTAAACTGCACCATTGGTAACCACAAGTGAAAGATTGCTGCATCTGCTTCCAGGGATCTTTTCTGACTTGTCAGATACAAATCCCCTTAGCAACTAGTCTGTAATAACGCTGTATTTTTCACACATGATGGAAACACATTCTTGCATATTGGTCAGTGTGTCCTTCGTGCAACTGAACTGGAAGTCTTCTAACCATCGGCGTTCTGTTGGTAGACCTTGCTTTTAAGTCACTTTGTATGAAAAGGGAGACGCAATTGCAACATTAAACCCCACCGACTGAAGTTTTTGCCATGAAACCTGCAAATACACAGGTCGGGGAATTTGTCATACAGGCAGACCAAAACGATGCTTCTTCTTTTTAATGGGTTTTAAGTTGGTCAGTCTACGCAAGTCCTCTTCAGCATCTGATTCCTCCATCTCATCATCTGCTGAAATAAGGATCTAAAAACAAATTTGAGCTTCTGAGTAACATGGATCAAAGTCACATTCTTTCTTCATTCTGCTTTTAACCTTTCTCTTTTTTCATGCTTGCAAAGTACCTTACTATTTACTCAAGAGTGAGCTTACAGAATACAGTTTGGTTTTACTGCCAGTACCATCAAACAACATCAGACATCCCTTCTGGAACCTCTAGTACATTTCAAAGAAAGATGCATATGTATTAATGTCTACTACAGTCACTGACTCTAAACCTAAAGAACTGATAAAGAAAACCCCATATAAATAGTACTGTCTGTAACACAGAAAAGTTATGTTAACCATCTAAAAGCTAAAACAACTTACCTTCAAAGATACCACACATCATCCATCTGAACTGAAAACTGACCACTTAATTCAGAACAAAATTATGCTAAAGCAAGGATACAAATACTTCTTCAACGTCAGGACAGCTGCCTCCCCCAGCTTCCTCTCTTTAAGCTTTAAACTCTCTAAGTTAGAATTGTCTGTTAGTTTTGTATTCTGTGTGGCCTTTCTTAGAAGCATTTGTAACTCTGATATTCACACATATTATGATGTCTTCCTGCTGGTCTGGAGAGAAGATAACTACCGTTAGTGGTCCAACAATGCCATTCTGCTGAACTGGATTTCAACTGCAAATGCTAGGAACTACCATTAGAAGTACATGAGGGATGAACAGGATTGGTACTGTACTAATTGCAATAATTAACTGTACGTACTTCTGACTCTGACTCTTCATGTGATGCTGCTCTCCTGTATCGGACTTTACTTCCATTTCTTGAATCTTGTCCTGCTTCTTTTTCTTCAAGTTTAGCTTTTGTCTTCCCTTTCTTCATGAGAAAATTATCTACTACCCAGAACATTAACGCCTGTTAAGGACAAGGGGGAAGTGACAGTTCAGTTTTCCTCAGAGAAGTGTATGTTCATTTAGTCAGTATTTGGACAGAATTAGGAAAACTTGGCAAAAATTATGAACTGGCCAAACAGGTACAATCTTTTACAGGCATAGCTGATTACACACTGCATGAATGCTCTAGAAAATAGCTACTTTATTCCTTTATAGGACAGAAGAAAATAAGAAAAGTAGCTGTTATTCAGAGTGATCATATATTAACTTTTCACGAAGAAATGTGAATGGTTTAGACAGACATCTTAGTACAACAGACTTTAGGTTTTCAAAGGATAAAAATCAATGCTTGAACAAACTGATGAAAGAAAACACACCAGCAGTCATTAAATACAAGGACACCCACCACCTCTGGTTCTAGTTCCTAAATCCCAGATTGCTAGGAGAGTTTACTTTGGGAAGGATGACTGCTCACTTGCCCTTTCCTTCTGCTCTGTCATAGGCCAGCCACTATTTGCTATGGTCAGACATAGGATACTTCACAGAACAGCTATCCTTAGACCAACTGTTTCCCAAAGCAAATTTCATTGTAATTTTATAACCTCTGTGGCAGTATTTCGGTATTACATTCAATCTACTGAATTCATCATGCCAAAGAAGCATTTCTGCACCTCTCCTGAGCCTGGTTACTTGGCTTAATATGGATTTCAGCTTTGTAAAATCCACATAGCCAGACATTTTATTCATTCTTTAACACCCTTCCTCTTTAAAACTTAAGCACCAAGGTACACTGTGCTTTAAGGACTAATGTTAACTAACAAACACACGGCTGAAAGATATCCAAGTAAACATCTCACAGAAGCATGAAAGTTGTACTAACATTAACAAAGAAGGGAACTATCAGCATGACGATAGCCAGCTCCAACTGGGGGTTCTCTATAGGGTTCAGTAAAGCTACCTGTGAAAAGAAAAGGATTAAGTTCAAATCATAGCAGCATGTGCACATAACTGGATTAGTAAGTGCAATTGTTCATGTACCAGCTATTGCTACAGAAATAATTCATATAAACCAAAAAAAGGACAGCTTTGCAGAAAAGGAAAGTACTTAGGACAGCTTCTAAATCACCACAGATACTAAGTGGGTCTGGCAAGAAACTTCTCTCTGTCATGTTTGTTTACAGAAGTCTGAAAAGCTGTGTTAGAATCATCTCGAACATTTCAGAGCTGCATGTTCCCCAGGAACGGAATTCATAAACAGAACAGAGTTTTACAAAATACACAAGATGGTTCCCAAAGTAGTCCAGAACGCACAATAGGACTAGCTGGTTTTAATGGGCTGTAACACTACACACTATTACTTCGAGTAATACATTGCCCAGGTTCTGTCAAAATTATTACTTATCAGCAACGGCTTCACTAATCCATTGCAAGTTTCTAAAATTTCACAGTCTAGATCTATTAAAAAGGTCAAGCAAGGAAAATTCATTAAAATACTGCAAGTACAAAATAGCTGTAAGTAAGGGTTAAAGAATTAAGAAAAAGAAGAACGACCTTGTGGCTTCAAGAGCACTCAGACAAGGAGATAGAATAAAACTTTATATACTGGAGTACATAAACCCCCCTCCAAAATATGGTGGGATGCTACTGCCAATGGATGCCAGAAAGCCTAAGTAGTAGCCTTAACTAGTGTCCTAATCCAACAAAACCAACATACCAGTACCAGAGTTACATGGCATTGACTGTTGATAGTTATGATGCTTGAGCTGAACAAATAAACACTATTACAAGTCTACTGCTTTACAGCTTCCACCTGAAATTTGTCTGTAAAATGCTGTAAAAATACAAACCTCCTTCCACTGAGGTATAAGCAGCACTATAATGATGATGGTTTTCTCAAATGTCATAATCAATATGTACAGAACACATTGGCCCACCCAAGCAGTGCACTGCAGTGGGTCACCTGCAGGAAAGAAGAAAGGTTCTATATATGCACAGGGTTGATTTGACTTCACAGTAAACATTTTAGAAAAGCAGTTAAGAAGAAGCAGGGCAGCTATGTCCTCTTAAAGTGCCTTCTCCAGCTTCCTTGGTGCTGCTCCTTCCCCTCCCTCAGCCTCACCACAACTTTCATGAACTATCAGTTAGAACCTGAATGTAACAGGACTTTACCCAGTTCAGCAGTACCTGGTTATACGCTCACTGTTTTACATAATCTGATGAAAGCAAGACCGATATAGCCGTGTTAATTTGTTTCTCATCAAATTGTTATTCTTGACCCTCTACCATGAAGTATTAAGTTTCTTAAAAGGGCAACATAGCTGAAGAAAAACATATATCCCTTTAGTCTAAGGTGAGAATTTCTGCTGTTCTCCCAGTGCTACCTTAAACGTATTTTTTTCTCTCTACAAAGTTAGTTACCATAACTAACCAATCATAACTGAAGCAACAAATGCAAGAGATGCTATGAAGAATTTAACTGAACAAAAAAAATTAAGATGATCACATTTTAGTTTCAATCTGAAAGGGTCTGAAACTCTACAGCACTCATTGTGGCAGAGTGAAAACCTGAGTCTATTAAGTTATCTGTCAGGACAGAGCAACAAATATTTGAACATGAAAACTTATGTAGACTACTATGAAAACAATAAGAGGAAAGGACAAAAAAGTAAAGGGATACAAGAGGGCTGATATGCCCAGCAAGTTTCACAGGTGAGCTTAAAGCAGCACTTCACTGGAAACCAAAAGAAAGCTTTGGAGGGAGGTGTTTGCTCTTTGTTCTTCACAACAGCTTCCACATCTTCAAAGCCAGCTTAAAACTTATGGTCTGGGGATGAATAATTAAATAAAATTCAGATGCTTTTATGTATTTGTAATGCAGAGTGGATAGCTGCTACTTCCTTTTCTGAAATACTTCTGAAAGGCTTTCAGTATTAATACTCGGTAATAGTCTTGAGACTTACTGCTTGCTGCTTAAATGCTATGAAGAAAAACATGAATCAGACTGGGGTCCAAAACAAAGAGAACTTTCTAAACAAGTTTTACAGTAAGAGCTAGTGATCAACACCCAATGGCCCAAGAGGAAAATGGTTTAAATGTTCAAGTTTTGCTATTATACACCAGAGTTTATAGCTTCTGTTTAAAAAAAGTTAGAAAATTTAAAAACGGAACCATCAGTATCTAACTTGAGCAACTGTGATTCTTCTGAAGATACAAGGCCTGAATCAGATTTGAGAATGAAAACTTAGCAATTAATTTCTATACTCCACATTTTTATTAGCATTCTCTAGCTTTAACTACCTTTAGCTACAGATCTACCACTGAAACTTTTCCAGTTTATTCTAAGCTCTTTTCCAATCTATATTTAATTTATAAAAGCAGACAGCTATAGCAGTTTGCATCTATTCCAACTCTGTCACATGAGATTTCTGAATGTCCAGAAACTGTGAAACTCTGTATTAAGAGTGTTGTGCACTATCACCAGTGAACGTTTTGTTCAGTGGTGGTTTTGTGCGGACGGTTGTTTGTTTTTCTTGGTGTATGACTGAAATTAGACATTGCATATGTTACATTCTACCTAAGGATTTTGTGTGCCCTACTGCTTCTACAAAATGATCTCTCAGCTCTAATTACAAGCAGGGACAACAGGGGTGTTCTTTAGTTTGAATTTACCATCTCTTTTGACAATGTCCCGAAAGCACCGCTGTAGTTAAGTTGAGGAGATACAGATTGGATGGGTGCATGCACAGTTCTGACAGAAAGCAAAAAAGCTTTCACAATGAGAATGGTTAAGCACTGGAGTAGGTTACACAAAAAGGGTTCTTAAATATTAAACCATGGATAAATTAAAAGCTGGACTGGAGCCACCCTGAACAACCTGCTGCACTTTGAAGTTAACCCTGCTTCAAGCAGGAGGCTGGATCAGATGATCTCTGGAGAAAATTTCCAACTAAGCTTTTTTTACTATTTCATAAACTAGGCAACTCAAGGGAAAAAGTGGAAGTTAATAACATCAGCACAGAGGTGCTCCCAAGAGTATCTGGGACATTTCTACATTCAAAGATTCAGTACACAAACTCAAATTACAGTGTTCCTGTTGAAACCATAAAGCCCCACTTTCTAAAGTCTGACAGTCTCTCAAATTCTGATTTTATACCAGTCATGTATAAACTACATGTCTAGAATAAAACAGCAAGTCAGAAGAAATCTTACTGCAAGAAAAAGTGCGTAAAGACTGAAACAAAAAAAACAGAAACAAAAAACCTAGTCTCTAGTAGCATAAGCTACCTGCATCAGCCACTTTGCAAATTCATGTTTATAGACAGCTCTTGAACAAAATACCTGTGATTCTTCTGTCCTGTAACTTCTCTCTGTTGCTCAAATCCTGAGATGTTTTCTCAAGAAAATGCCAAATCACTCCAAAATAAATTACAAAAGTTTAAAAGTAAGTCCTACCTACCCCATATGGCTCTAAGCCACAAAGAGCTAAGAGGGAAGAGATGCAAAGGTGATTTCTGAGCTTTGCCATCTGAGAAGCAAAGACAAGGAAAGAGACCACAGCATGATTTAGCTGCCGATAGAGCTCATTGTCCCCAAGAGGGATTTGGTCACCTGTTTTCTACTCACAGCAGCTAAAGCAGCCTAAGACAGGAAGGGAAGGAGAACGCAGGGAACATTCTTCTCGCTACAGATCATGACTGCTTTTCTGCTCTTTACATACTCAAACATATTAACTGATTTTGCACTTCTATTAAAATCCAGCTGCTGATGTAACGAATCTGAAAACACAAAACTGGAAATATGAAGACAAATCTAATACTTTAAAATGCTGACATAAAAAAGCCTTTGAGGGAGCGTCATGCTACTTTGCTCAGAAACGAGCGTGCAGTGCTGTTTTGCTGTACAAACAGCAGCCATTTATGAATGCTGGTATTTGGTATCCTTTCCTTGAGGCATTTATGTTGAAAAACTATCCTCCATATAAAGAAGAGGCTTTTAAAGCCAGCAGGACAGTGCTATTTTTGTGACAGCTTCAAGTAGTGAATCACTAGGGATCAAGTAAGAGCTAAGAAGGGAAATGAGCTCACAGTGAGAATTAACTTAAGACAAATGATTATTTAGGCTCTAGAAACATAAACATCACTCAATCACAAGAAGAAACTTGTCAGGGGTGTGGGGGAGAGACACGGACTCCTGTTGGCCCCTGCTTGCAAACAAACTGAAATCACTCTGATCTCCAAGCTGAGGATTTGACTTTACCACTTCGGATAAAACGCCTCAAGTTTCCAATACCTCTCAATAAGCAGATACTTCACTACCCATGCAGGCTAAACATCCGTATTTCATTGCAAAATACTAAGTCTAAATACACTTGTGACCCCACAGGACTAAACTTTAGCTCCCTCTTCTACCCTACTTAATTATTTTAAATAATCTTATGAAAAATAAGTTTTCTCGGGGCCAAAGTGAAAAATTTTAAATAAAATGGTGACATGAAGGTTGTTACTTCAGAAGCACCAGCAGTATTTAACAGAAGAGGGCAGCAAACAATCTAATGCAACTTGTCCTTTTAGACACATTTCTAACATAGTCTAACCCTACTAACCTCACAGCCATTACCAATAAATTTCCATCTGCTATTTGTCTTTATACCAGAAGGCTCTCCCACATGATTAACAGAAATCAGATTTACAATATGTTTTTTAATAGTCTTTATGATGGCTTGATTAAAACACCAACACACTAAGGCTGGGACAGCACATTAATGAAGATACAGAAAAGAGTCGCTAATAAAATGATCTGATATTGGAAAGAACAACGAAGTAAAGCGGACTCAGACAATTTCATACGTAGCTTACACACACACACACACACACACACACACACACAGAGAAATACTTAGAATCACAGAATAGTTAGGGTTGGAAAGGACCTTAAGATCATCCAGTTCCAACCCCCCCTGCCATGGGCAGGGACACCTCGCACTAAACCATGTCACCCAAGGCTCTGTCCAACCTGGCCTTGGACACTGCCAGGGATGGAGTGTTCACAACCTCCCTGGGCAACCCATTCCAGTGCCTCATCACCATAACAGGAAAGAACTTCTTCCTTATATCCAGTCTAAACTTCCCCTGTTTAAGTTTTAACCCATTACCCCTTGTCCTGTCACTACAGTCCCTAATGAAGAGTCCCTCCTCCCCAGCATCCCTATAGGCCCCCTTCAGATACTGGAAGGCTGCTATGAGGTCTCCACGCAGCCTTCTCTTCTCCAGGCTGAACAGCCCCAACTTCCTCAGCCTATCTTCATACGGGAGGTGCTCCAGTCCCCTGATCATCCTCGTGGCCTCCTCTGGGCTTGTTCCAACAGTTCCATGTCCTTTTTATGTTGAGGACACCAGAACTGCACACAATGCTCCAGGTGAGGTCTCACGAGAGCAGAATAAAGGGGCAGGATCACCTCCTTCGACCTGCTGGTCATGCTCCTTTGGATGCAGCCCAGGATACGGTTGGTTTCTGGGCTGCAAGCGCACACTGAAGCCGGCTCATGTTCATTTTCTCATTGACCAGCACTCCCAAGTCCTTCTCCTCAGGGCTGCTCTGAATCTCTTCTCCGCCCAGCCTGTAGCTGTGCCTGGCTTGATAAACAAGATCTCCTGATTCAGAATCATAATAATGGATCAGTTGCAGGCCACCTCCACCACAGAACACAAGTAACAAGGTTCACTTGTTGATTTTAAGGGCTGAGTTGCTTCATTCACAGATGCCTCACAGCTAATTAAAATAAAATCAGGTTCATTTTTGAAGTCAGTAAGAGATAGAATGAATACGCTCCCCACATCTTCCCATCCACACAGACTTCTTATTGTTAAAAGGACATTAAAATGAGAACAGACTACAGAGAAAAAAACCCCAGAATGCTATTTATTAGGAAGAAATAAAATCTGGTATTTGATGCGATTACAAATGCCTATGTATAATTTTAATAGATACACCAAGTTTCTTTACTCTGAGTGGAAAGCCAATTTTCTATGGGCTATAATCTGTTGAAACATCTTTAAATGGCATCAATCCAATCAACTATGAGAAAATGGGACTTTGGGCAACAATCTGAAAGCTCAGTCAGAAGGGGTATCACAACAATGGCTCAGCCCTTTCCTTGCCCTTTAATCCCTTAGAGACCCAAGTCTGAAGACTGATCTGGGGGAACTATTCTACATATGGTGAAGTTTCTACTCTTTGAATCAGTTCCACGAAGAGTCAGATGTTCACCAGGCCAAAGAAAAGAGTGGAAATACTGGACTGTGGCATGTGGCAATAAAAAGCAGATAAACAGAGCTGTGACACTGCTGATTTAAACAGCTTGAATGGCCACAAATGTTACCCTAAAAGATACACATTAAATCTACATAAATCTAAGGAAAAAAAAAAAAAAAAAGCCCTAATGGCGTATACAGTTATTTCTCCTAAGATAGATGCTTGTCATCACCCCTATTTTAAACCTCTGGCATTAAAGCAAATAGCAGTTAATGCTATTCAGTTGTAAACTTCCCAAGCTTTTGAAATAGTTCATCTTGGCAAGGCCTTTAGTTACTTATTCTTAATTCTGTCAGCCACTTAGGATATTTAAAACAAAAGAAACCTACAGACCCTGAAAGCCTACCAATGGTAACTATGGAATTGCTATGAAAGCTTTTACTTATCTTTTTTTTTTTTTCCCCAAACCATAGGGAATTTTTGTTTCTCTCTGATGAAGAGCCATAACTGCTGGCTTACGAGGCAATCTCTCCACCCATTCCTATCTCAAGGAGCTTCAAATGTAATTTTTAGCATCTATACAGAACTTCCATTCCCAACCAGCCAGACTAAGCAATCTGAAAATAACAGGTTGAACAGAATTAAATATTGATATGTATGATACCCATTTGCATCTGCAAATCCACAACCTGTGCACATCAGTGGACTTCTGTAGCTACCATAATGGAAGATAAACCCCACAGCTTCTTGTGAAAGTGATTTCACTAGCCTATTCCCTAACCTGCTCAAAAAACATGCATTTTTCATCAATGATACAAACCCTACATGCAGGAGTTTGAGTGATCATTACTTTAAGACAAGCACAGGTCATCTTGCCATTCTCTTCACTGAAGGTACATGGCTGTTTATTTTAAAGAGCGCTGGCAGAGCTCTTAGCCCCTATCTTCAGACAATGGCACGTGGTTCAGTGAAGGCTTTAATAGGAAATGACCTTCCACGTATCATTTATTTAAAAGTGCTTCAGAGTAAATGTATCAGGCTGTTATTTTTTCCACGACATCAGCCACTATCACAATTTGTTCATCACTCCCAAAAAATAAAAAGGATGTTCAAGCAGTTGCTGTAAACTTGCTAAATGCTTAGAGACTTGCTGAGCTTAATAACGCAGAAGGTGCATGCCGACATACAGAACTTAAAAGAACCCTTATGAGAAGTCAAATGTTAAGATGACCATTATAATCATTGTGTAATGATTTTAAGATGAGTTGGCCATTAGCTGAAATATTCTGAGATTCCATCCTGAAAGTCATTTCAGTGCAAGAACAGAAACATTTACCATATTCACCAAAGCGAAGGGACTCCCACTGCTGCCACTCCACAATGCTGCTGACTGCACGTATACCAATGTAGATTAACAGCATCCCTAATGTGGCATCTAACAAGAAGTTGATAAGGTACCTGAAAGGAAAAATGCAAAAGAAAACAAGGAGCAGGGTCCATTTTATTCAAGGTTTAGTGTATTTTAACACCGTGATGGCTAGAAGATCTGTACATACGTTGAGTAGCCAAAGTATTGAAAATAATAATTTACCACTTCCATAATGACATTAGCCTAAAATTTAAATAGTTTTAGAAGGGTCTCAATATTTTGTTTCTGTCAAAGTTAAGCTCCAGCCTCTATTTTCATGTGTGCACCTACATACTCTATATAAATGCCAATATTAATTTTACTCCTTTAAATTAAATCCAGATTTCCATTACACTGTTGCTCAGGTCACTCTGCATGGAAAGCCTGCATCTGAGTAAAATTAAAGGAAGAAGAGGAAAAGGAATCTTACTTCTGCTTCAAGCAACTGAAGATCACTATGAGTTTCAAATTAATTCTTAATTTCATTAAATGGTTCACCTGAAATTTAGAGCATTTTGTAAGTGAATCTGGTTTTTATTTGCTATCACCAAATGTACTGAATGAAACAGCAGCTGAGAAAGAGCCAACTATAAGACACACAGTAAATCCCTGCTACTGAGATTCTTATTTGGTAATTCCAAATAGTTAAGGTAAACTCTAAAGCTATAGGAACTTATCTGCACAGACAAAAATAGCAAATCAGAGAACTGTGGGCTTTTGTTAGCTGTGTAGCAAATCCCTGGGGACAAAACTATGAGAAAATGGAAAGCAAAGAAAGAATATGTGCGTTCAGATTAGTAAAGGAGGAGTTGTTCTGACCCCAAAATCCCATTTAAGAGCAGCTCAAGAATACAAATGAAGTGCTCATGCCCTTATTCGGCCAAGACTTACCCATAAACTTCAAAAAAAAAAAAAAAGTTATCTTCTAATAGCTGTGTGTCTGACTGAAGTTTTAATGAACTTCATATTGGACGAACGTTAAACCCAAGGTTTAGTGTTTGGCAGAGGAACGGCAGCGTTTACAAGAACACAAGTCATTCTAAGGCCACAAGGGGCTGCTCTAAGCCTACAGCAGGAAGGCAGCCATCAGGAGCAGGGAGAAGAGATGTGCCAACAGCTATTTCACATCAAATTACAGAGCAGGCCATGTATGCCCGATATTCCCAAGCACATCAGGCTCAGTACACGTAGGTAACATGTTCGTTCTGTCATGCACTGCATTAACCCTGCTCAGGTGTAACCGGGGCACTGGCACTGACAACACAAACTGCCGCCACTACCAGATAAATGCATTTGGCTGAGTTCAGTGAGTAAAAGGCTGGATTCACACAACCTTCCCGGTGTGCCGTGCACAACCAGCCCACTACCCTGGGGGAGGTACACAAGGAGGGTGCCGTTTGCTTGTTCTACTTACAATTCTTCAACCAACCACCCATCTGCCGAGGTGTTTTAACAGATGTTTTATCAGCTTTGATATTATCACACACCTGCCTAAACTACAGCACTACATCCCCAAACACAAATAGCAACTTCCAATTGTAGTTTTTTTCCAAGCTTTGAATCATGATGCTTTCCAAAAGTACATTTTCTGAGTTTGTTCTGAAAACAGCCCACAAACTACAAACCAGGAAAGAACAGAAAACTATCCACGTTTGAATTTCCTCAGTAACATTATTACTATTTAAAGTCACAGACAGAAACATTGCTTTTACTCACTAATTTTGACGCACTTGGCACTTAGAATGTAGTTTTCCCAAGAAAAAAACAAGTGGCTTTGGTTAATACTACATCCTATTTTTTTTGCTAACAAGGAGGACCTGTGTCCTTGTCCAAGAAATTACACACTATTTCTGTTATCCTGAGAACACTGAAGAACAGCTCTCTGCCTCACCCTCTTGGTTTGTATCATGTTACACGAAGTGGCATTTGAAAATAAAGCTATGTAGAGTGCACTAAAACGTGTAGAATAGAACACGTTAGGAAGCCCTTCATTTTGAAAACTCAGCACACAGCACAGCTATTTTCAATTTTAAAATACTTAAGCTTTACCTGTAAATGCTAACCATTTTAGGCAAGCTGTGGTAAGCTTCCTCAAATATGTATTTCAGTATATAAAACCAGAATGAAAGCAATTTGCACCTGCCAGTTTTTAAATCTATCAGGGTAAGCAAGGAAAAATCCTACAATGATGCCTGATATTACTGTAACTCTCAATTATCATTTAAACTTTACAGTTACTGTGTTAAAATAAATGCATTTTCCCCACCATAATGGTTTATGGGGGGAAGAGAAAAGCAGTGTTTTACTTGGTCATTTATAGCATATAAGAACGCAGAAGAAACTGAGGAGGAATAAGGGAAATAAAACAGGCTTGTGAAGCAACACAAGCATTTCCTTGGGCTGTGTAGCTTCTTTGTTTAGCAAAGGACAACAGAGAGCAGATGCCATTGAAGGACCTGGATTGCTTTTAAAGGGCACATTATCAGGCTTTTAAAAGTAATTTCACAGCTTCTATTACCAGGAACGTGTAAGCTTCTTTGAGCATAAGCCCTATAAAGAACAAACCCAAACAATTACCATTTGCTTCAGGAGCTCCCGTAAAGAGCCTGGCAGGGTCTTAGTCATAAAATCTTCAGGTTTAATATACTACAGTGAAATGCTTATCTACTTAGTCACACTGCTCCAAGCGTGACATTGCAAAATTAATTTGTGCACTAACTGCCAGGGTATGGAGCAGTATTTCCTGTTTTAACCTAATGAAACAATACTGCAGTAGCTACTGTAGGGTTTAGAAGAAAATACAAGCATGAATGATTTCTGCTAAGTATCCCTGAAAGCAACCTGACTTTCTATTAAAGTCCTGCTGCATTGAACAGCTGGAGGTTAGTGGACACAACTTTATATTCATTACCTTTGGTCCCTAGCACCTCCTCCAGCAAACAGACTCATGTTACAGCCTGCATCCTAAATCCTCATTCATTAACTGGAAGGGGAGAAGTAGTAAGAGTTTACTCTTGGTCTAAAATATCTATACACAGCCCCCCCCCCGAAAAACTCTCAGGTCCTGCCAGCCATGAACTGAAAAGAACCTTGATTAACTCAGGTTAAAGCACAGGTTTTTGAAAGTGATTTTTAACACGAAAATAGGTTGCTCAGCCCTATCTTGCATTATTGCCCAGGTACAGCACCAAACACAACTGCAGAACTCCCATAAAGACCGATATTCTGAATTTAAACACTTACAGTGAACAGGGGTCTTCTTCTGTAAGGTCTGATAAATAGACATTTGCGAAGTGGATGAATAACATCCCTATGGCTTGCTTGGAAGTATCTAAAAACCTGTACAGAGTCAAAACAGTTTTTAAGACAGACAAAAATGCTTACGTGACAGCCAGACACTGCAAATTTATGTTAATTAAAATTCCATCTCAATTATTCATTTTTTTTCTTCAACTGAGAACACCAGAATGATGAAGTGCCCTGGAATTTAGCTTATTTAACAATGTTCCATTTTAAATTCTGCCCCCTTTTTTTTCCTTGAACATTGCAAACAATAAACCAAATCACACTAACTTGAAACCTTACCATTGTAAATTTCAAGTCCAGAGATATCCTCTTGGTATCATATGCATTATTCAAGAGCTAATCCTCACTAAACCTAGCTAAGTCTTTAATAACCTTGTGTAAACATTGAGTATCCCAGTCTCATGAGATATTTCAGTCCCTTTATGTTTATGCATTTTTAGCGAGGACAAAACCAACATCCTCATCATGTGCTTGCTGGTGAGCAGTTTAATAGCTGACTAATAATGAGTTGTTTAGCTAGAGTACCTTGCTAAAAAGCTAACATTTTTCAGCCAAAAGCATGAAGTGGTCTCACTGATTTTTATCTGTAGTACAACAGCTTAGACCACACTACAAAATAATTACAACCTTGAAAGCTTCAGAGAAAATAGTTTGCTATTTACAGGGAAAAACAGAAAAAAAGCACTTAGGTACTGATTCAGTATTGACTCCAATCTTTTACCATCACCCTTTGCACAAAACCAAAATTACCAGTGGATGTTTCACAAGATGTTAAATAAAGGAATTGTGTAAAAAGTATTCTGTAGGCATGTGTTCTTTATAACAGACCAGCATCCCTTCTGTCTGTTGTTTCCTGGTCTAAACAAAGATCCAAACGCCCCAACAGATACAAACATTTTATGCCTGAATTCATCTCCCCTCCCTAATAACTTTGTCTTAAACTTCATTCTCTTACATTCATTGCATGACATAGACAGCAGAATGTTGGAGATGAGGCAGGAAGCCTGTGAGTTCCTTAGCAAGTCCCACAACAAGATTCATTGCTTAAAAATTAAGGGTTATCACTCCACTCATTAGAATTTCAGGCTGACGTAGGCCACAGTACACAAGACTTTGTATTTATTTTTTCAATGAAATAAAGGTCAGGGTTAGTTTTGAAAAGCAGCATTGTACAAGATGAATTTAAACCACTGAACTCTTCAACAACTGGAATGACTGCTTAACATTCACCCCAGTCTCAAAATTAGTACAGGCTGCGTTGGCATTGCTACAATCCAACAACCTTTAAGAAGTAATAAAAACAAATACACTTTTTAGACCTTGTTTCTGTCATAGTTTATATATTTGTATCTTTCACCACACAGTTTTCTATATTATGTATAGCAGGATAGCTACAGAACATGGAATTTTGTTTAAGCCCAGCTGAGAGCTTCTTGTAAGCTTACGGAAGTTTGTGCATGTTCAGATCTCTGGGCAACTGCAAGTTTCCACCTTCAGAAGAAGTACAACTTGAAGGTTTATGTCTAAATACACATCTCTGTACAGATTCCTGGAAATGCTTAGTAAGAAAGAACTAGTAGAGAAACATGCAGAAGATGCCTGCATTGACTTATGTATTTTGTTTTTGTTCCTCACTGTTAGTCACTGATTTCTTGTCATCGTTTTTCTTCAATCATCATATGCAAAAACCCCCATTTTCTTCAATTTCTAACACATGCAAGAAACAACAAAATTAAGAATAAAGCATGCACAAACATACCATATCTTCCAGGGACGTCGTTCATGCTTTGGTTCTCGGAAGCGTTTTACTAAGGAGAAAAAAAGAAAGCAAATAATTGAAGACAATCGGGAATTCCCAAAGCCCCCAAAACAAAAAGTGAAAGCAAATCAGTTTGCTGAAATGGTACCTTCTTCAATAAATGACATCTTACGCAACAGCATTTCACTTTCTCAACTCCAAGGATAACTTTCAAAGAAACTGGCTCCCTTCTGTCACCTTCAAGCTCCTAGAGATCCATCATCTGACTGCCAATATACCTCACTTGAAAACAGCTATTACCAACACCATTTCACTGGCCTTAGCTTTTATGACTGCCCATCCAGAAAACCTAATTTCCAAAAGGAAAGCAGGTATTAGAAAAACCCGTTTCTTTTGCTCACTAGAGTTCAAAAGTCAAATTGGAAAGTATTCTCGCAATACAGGGGCAATCTGTAATATCACTAATAAATCAAGTGAATTAGTAACAGAACAAATGTATTCTCTGACAAAGCATATTTATTTTACGGATGACAAATAAGACTTTTGTGGGCAAGCTGAATTGCAAAAGGAAAGCAGGGCAGACGTTTTAGTCAGATAATCCCTTCACAAAAAGGTTGGTACTATTAACCCCCCCCCCCCCCCCAAATCCAGGATTAAAATCAATGCCAACTATACAAAGCCACAGAAATAGATGAATTTGACTATTTCAATCTTGATACAATTTACAACACAAACTGTTTGGGTATCGGATTGAAAGCTCCTCACACCCCCTGCCCTGCTACTCCCAGGTACTATTTTCTCAGGAAATTCCATTCTTAACTCTTTCTGAGCAAGAAAATCCTTTTTCCCTACTGGGAACTCACGCTGAGCCCTGGCCACCTGGAACAGGATGCTGGGGCAGCCTAATCTCTGACAGATCTGGCCTAACCCAGATTTGTTTTCTGTTACAGCTGCAAGATACCTATTCCTTATAGATCATAAAGACAGACCAAAGATATGGAGTATAGCAAAGCCTTTCGCCAAGGATGGGTTTTATGCATGGGTTTAACATATGGGTTTAAATTCCTTCTTCTGCCAAAGGCTGCGTCACCCACCAGCTCCTTCCACAGAAATCTTGAAAAATAATTATTTAGGCTCTTATTTGAGTTCCCCCAAAACATCAACGGGATTCTACCCTGCTCCTCCAGGTAGCAGCAAGGAATTCAAGTTTCAAATAGGATGCTGCATATAATTTATGCATATATTTTAGTGGGAGGTATCCCTGCCCATGGCAGGGGGTTTGGAACTGCATGATCTTAAGGTCCTTTCCAACCCTAACTGTTCTATGATTCTATGATAAAATTATGCTCACCTAGCTTACAAGCCTTTAAAACACATGCTGGGTTATGAACCAATCACAACTTCTTCACAAAGGAAGGCAATATTCCCCAAAGTCAACCTCATACACATAATACGGCATTAATATTATTACCCAAATTCCTTAAAATGGACAAATAAAAATTCACCTCCAAGGTGGAGGGGCAGTGTTTGCAGGGAGCACCAAGCTAACAACTTGCCATTTTACTGTCTGCCACCACCTCTGACAGCGGAGAAAGAAACTGTGTTTCACCCCCAGATAACGCAACCGTTGGAAATTAAGAAGTGACAAGAAGAAAAGCCTGAACACTTACACCAAAGATGAAGCTGTAATATCAACATTTGCCAGCAGTTTAATCTGTGAATCACATGCTATAAATACAAAACTTCTGTTGCAAATGAGCAGCACCCAGCTAAGTTAACCGCTTTGCTGTTTATGACAAGGCCTCCCCAGTCACACTATGGATCACCTTAATTAGTGACCCTTCTACACAACAAGAAGCCACAAAGCATCACAAAATAAATGCAAGAAGCAGAAGTTCCAACTTACTGGGATTTGCGCAAGATGCAGACAAAATGGGAATTAAACTGGTAAGATCTGAATACTTCTGGAGGAAAGGGGGGGAATTCCAAGCTCAGGCTTTTGTCTGTAATTACTATGAAGAAGTTGTATAAGCCTTTGAATTATTTCTTTGAAGTATTCACCAAAAAAATCATTTTGGAAGAGAATATTCCAAACCAATTCAACTAACACCATTTCCAGTTTTATCCACTGAGAAAAGACTTCAGAAAGTCCATGTTTCCCCAGCCAGCTCTTGAAAACGTCAGAATTCATTTGAGTTATCATTAAACAGAAAAGTTAACTTTGAAAGCTTCTACAGATGTCTTTTGGGAATGTATTAAATGGCTGATCACACCACAAACTTCTAACCCCCAAGTTAAATGAGACAGTATGTTCAAATGCTTTAGGAGGTGATGCCTGATGAATATGTTACCTGTACACTTGAAGGCCTGATGGATCCATATGAAACAGTTTGCTTGCTCAGCCTAGTTTCTTGCAGCTGTGCCTGCAAGCATCAGGTATTTCTGACATACACAGGTATTGCCAGGAATTCCCTTACATCCCCCTGATGCAGTATGCAGGTTACATTGCCTGTGTAGCACAATATACTATCACTTCAGAGTGGTTCAAGTTGAGAGCAATTTCACTTCTTCCCCAGCAAGGGAGCATGTTTTCTGTATGGCTAGAGACAGCTGAGGCCTTCCCACTAAGTAAATTGAGCAAAACCCCCTCAGACTGTAAATAACCACACTGGTAAGCCCAGGATTAATAGCATGTTTGCTATTAATACACTAATTGTGCAACTAAAACCCAGCATTCCCCCCCCCCCCCAATAAAGATTCTGCAAATGTTTTAAGGATCTCACAAACTGGGGAGGGGAAAGCAATTCTTCCCACTGCCCACCTCCAGTAGATGTCATCATTGTAGGCACACTCAGCTCTCAGTCCCATTCTCAGTCTCCCTTGGCAGTCTCCATTGCCTCACTGTAAACTCGGAGATGTGCACTGGTGTGTGTGGCAGCTGACAGATGGATCTCAAGCTGCCAACTTCTCACTGAGGAGGTGTGACCACTCCATATGCTTCAATTCGGAGTGTTACACTCGCACTAGCAAGAATTCACCATATTTAATATTAATTAACTAATAATATTCAAAATTTCATGCTGAATTATAAATGAAGAAAGCAGCACTGCTTGTTTATACATTCAGTGCCAGAATTTGTCAGGAAAGGAAATAAAAGCACTTCTGCCAACAGGCATGTGAGCTGCCAGATGGACCGATAACAGATAAGCATATAAGGCAGAGTATTGTTAATACAAAATCCAAGTTCATTAAATTGTCTTCCCATTTCATTGAAAGTCTAGGAATAATTAATTCCAGAGTACTGTGGAAGGCTTTCTAACAGTTAGAAACATAGGAGTTTTGCAATCAGTATTCCAGAAAACTGAACACTCACAGGGTCATATATAAGAACAGAAACAAGAAATAAAGTAAATCTCTCCAAAATGTCAATACAAAAAGCAACACTTGAACCTGGTACCTGGAATTCTCTCGCTCTTTCAGCTCCTCCAAAAGTACCATGGGGAATATTTTGCTGATGTGAACTAACTTCAATATGGATTCAAGAACTCCCATCAAGTTTCTGGATGGCTGCTCTTGTAGCAGCACAGAACTGGCCTGCCTGAGATGTCCAAAATGCTTCTACATAGCATGTATTGCATTTCTTAAGACTATTCAAAATGCTTGATGTCCTCTGCAGCTGTACAGTAACACTGCTCTTCTAAGGAGAGAATTGGGAGGAATTTCACCTGTATTTCCAGTGCTTCTCAAAACATTCAAAAAACAAGTCAAAGACAAAGCGTGTGAAAACTGTTTTGTTTCATAAACCTCCGATACATCTCTGTCATCAGACCTCAGCAAAGTGACAGCTGAGGTAGCCAAACAGGAGAAGAAAACCCAAAGGAGGAAAGGTTAGTAAGGGTAAGGTGACATCTGCACATCACACATGCAAACCTGCTCATGAGCATGGGCAGTTTCAGCCAGGATGGAATCGGAGCCTTCTCATGGGTGCACAGGCAACTGGCACAAGAGCCACAAGTTACAGCCAGGGAATCTCCAGCATGACAGAAGTAAAAGCCTTCCAGTGACAGCTGTAAACTCTGCAACAAGCTGCCCAGACAGCGGGCAGTGCCTTCAGTCTCATAGACCTTGAAAATTCACTTGGGCTATGCTCTGAGCCAGGAGCCAGGCTGGCCCTGCTCTGAGCAGAGGTGGGAGCAGGTGACATTCAGGCTCTCTTCCAACAAAAACTGGCCTGTAAGTGTAAAAATCATCTTTTTGTGATATGACACTTAAAAGCTCCAAGATCTGACCAACTATCAAAGGATCAAAGTATGCCTAACTATAAATTGTACACACACGTATCTGTGTATGCACAGAATTTAACAGTAAGAAGTCTGCTGCAGTTTGAACTTCCATGCAGTGTTGTGTCATGAGTGGTAAATCTCCTCCAGCAGGATGGCTTTGCTGGGCCCCCTGAACAATGTGCTCCAACCAGACAGATCCTCCAGCAGAGCTCTCATAGGGCAAGACTGTTGTGATCAGCAGCGCTACTTTGATATTAATTCACATAATTTCCAACACTCCAATATTAAAGCTTCCAGTAGAACACTGTTTTGCTAACTGCACTGAGTAACAGCCGAAGAGCTAACTAAGCATTAGCATCCAAACTCGGAATGGGATTCAGAATTTCATATGGCTACTCTCAGAGAACTGAACTATTTTGAGCCCATTTGGTTATCAGGAGAACATATGCATCACAAATTTGATCCTGCAGTTTCTAACCCTGTAAAAAACTTGTAAAATCAACTACATATGCAGAGCAGATTTCAAGTTTTTAAAATTCTGTTTAGGAAGACTGTCAAAAACACTGTTCTGCTTGTTAGTATCAACACTTTGCCTACAACAGTGGGAAACATGCCTGCAATTCATGAGCACTTGCACAATAGTCATTCCTGAAAACTCACACCACCATGGAATGACAATGATCAGTGAACATTATGTTACCTGTGATCTTTGTCCTGTATTTGAACTTACCTTCCTTTCCCACTAAAGCAAAGCTTTTAAGAGGCT